TTCCGACTTGATGGCACCTGACAACAACAACAACAACATCTACATTTGAAAGTTGGACAGTGAATAAAGAAGACTGTAGAAGAATTGAGAAGAATTCATGCATTTGAGTTATAATGCTGTAGAAGAATATTAAAAATACGTTGGACTTCTAGAAGAACAAACAAATCTGTATCCAAAGAAGTACAACTAGAATGCTCTTTGGAAACCAAGATATCCAGACTTCGTTTCTCATACTTTGGACATATTATCAGGAGGTAATAGTCCCTTGATAAGGACATCATGCTTGGTAAAATGGAAGGTCAGCATAAAAAAGGGAGACCCCCAATGAGATGTATTAGCTCAGTGGCAGCAGAAATGGGTTTAAACATAACAGCGATTGTGAGGATGGCACAGGACCGGGGGTAGTACTGGTGGGTGTTTTGTTTTGTTGTATATGGAGTTGCTTTGGGTTGGAACTGATTCGAAAGCACCTAACAACAACAATGTACCTCAAACTGTGTGTCTCCTAGTCTGTTGTTGTTGTTAGGTGCTGTGGAGTCAATTCTGACTCATAGCAACCCTGTACAGGATTTCCGAGGCTGTAAATCTTTACGGGAGCAGAAAGCCTTATCTTTCTCCCACGGAACAGCTGGTAGTTTCGAATTGCTGACCTTGTGGTTCACAGCCTGATTTGTAACCACTATGCTACCAGACTGTCAAATCGGTTCTGACTCATAGCAACCCTATGCACAACAGGACAAAACAGTGTCCAATTCTGCACCATCCTCACAATAGTTATCATGATGTAGTTCTCGGATGCTTCACTTTACCAGTTCATCTCCTTGGAGATCTTCCTTTTTATTGTTAGCTTTCCACTTTACTAAGCCTGAAGTCCTTCCCCAGGGACTGGTTCCTCCTGATAACATGTCCAAAGTATGAGAGAAGAAGTCTCACCACCCTGGCTTCTAAGAAACATTCTGGCTGCATTTCGTTCCACAGAGATTTGTTTGTTTTTCTGGTAGTCCACAGTACTTTCAATATTCTTCTCTAACACTGTAACTCCAATAAATTAATTCTTCTATGGTGGTCCTTATTCACTGTGCAACTCTCATAAGCATATGAGGCTACAGAAAATACCATGGCTTGTGTCAAGTATACCTTACTCCTCAGACTGTTATCTTGGCTCTTGAACACTTTCAAGAGGTCTTGTGCTGCAGATTTGCCTAATGCAATACATCATTTATTTCTTGACTGTGGCTTCCATTGTGGATAGAAGAAAAATGAATTCTTTGAAAACTTCAATATTTTCTCCATTTATCATGATGTTCAATTGTGAGGGATTTTGTTTTCTTTGTATTCAAGTGAAATCCATACTGAAGGCTGTGGTCTTTGCTCTTCATCAGTAAGTATTTTAAGTCCTCATCACTTTCAGCAAAGGAGCTTCTTATCATCAGCATATTGCAAGTTGTTAATACGTCTTCCTCGAATCCTGATGCCACATTCTTCTTCATATAATACAGGTTCTTGGATTGTTTGCTCAGCACATAGATTGAATAAGTGTGGTGAAAGGATACAACCTTGATTCACACCTTTCCTGATTGTAAACTATTCAATATCCCTTTGTTCTATCTCTTTCTCTATGTATGGGTTCCCCATGAGCACAATTATGTTCTGGAATACCCATTCTTCTTAATTTTATCCATCTTTTGTCATGGTCCACACAGTCAAAGTCTTTGCATAGTCAATAAAGCACAGGTGAACATCTTCCTGGCAGTCTCTATTTTCATTCAAGATCCATCATATGTTAGTGATGATATCTCTAGTTCCACATCCTCCTCTGAATTCTGCTTAAATCCCTGGCAGTTCCCTGTCAATGTACTGTTGAAGCCATTTTTGAGTTATCAGCAGCAAAATTTTACTTGCATGATATATTAATGACATTGTTTGATCATTTCTGCATTCTGTAGGATCTCTTCTCTTTGAAATGTTCAAAAACATAGATCTCTTCCAATCGGTTGGTCGAGTAGCTGTCTTCCAAATTTCTTGCCACAGATAAGTGAGTACTTCCAGCGTTTCAACAATTTGTTGAAAGATTTCCATTTGTAATCGCTTAATTCTTGTAGCCTTGTTTTTCACCAAGGCCTTCAATGCATTTTGGACTTCTTCCTTCAGTACCATAGGTTCTTGTTCCTGTGTCACTTCTTGAAATAGTTGAACATTTACCATTTCTTTTTTATACAGTGAATATGTGTATATGTTTTCTTTTCTTTTGATACTTTCTGCTCCATTCAATATTTTGCCCATCGACTACTTCAAAATTGCAATAGTATCACCATGAGTTACATGTTTTATCAAGCAATGAACTATATGAGATGTGAAGGTCAATATTTCCCCCCCAAAAAAACAAAGATGAGGAAGCAAGGAGGGGAAGGGAAGGTAAATCAATGGCAACAACACAAATTGAACAAAAATTATGACAGTGGTGTCACATTGTAAAAATTATAAACAAAAATTGACATGGAATAATGTATATAAAATTATTAAAGGGGAATCTAATTTGCTGTGTAACACAAATAACACCTGAAACACAATAAAATATTATTTAATTAAAAATATACTAATTGTATATTTTTTTAATAGGCATGTTAGTAAACACTAACAAAATGAGGAAAAGGAAAACCAACTTAATCCCATCTAGCAGATAGAATTAAACTAATACTTTATTATTCTAAATATTTTTTAATGGGGACAGTGTACAGGAGACAAATTGTGTTGTGCAACTACTTTCCCCTTAATAGTATATTATAAACATTTTCCTGCCATTAAATATTTTTATAAGAAGCAGTCTATTAACTGTTTATTATTCTACTGTCTGACATATAATGTTTATGTTAATCTTCCTTTGTTGGACACTTTCAGTATTTTCTTTTTTCACTATTATTAGCAATGTTTCAATGGATATTACATACGTATATTAGCATTCTCCAAAGTAAAGCTACATTTAAAGTGACTAATAATGTTAAAATAATGTAGCTGAACAGAAGGCATGGGATCTACGATTATTACATTATCAGTCAGTCCCCAGGCTATAATCACCTGAGTTTTTATTTGAAAATGTCATGTTGCGTAAGCTCTGCTAAATCTGCTAAAGCCAGAACCTATGTAAGATGACAACGTGTCAGAGAAGGAAAATTTAAATATTTTCCACCGAAACAAGTAATACAAAAGTAGTAAGACTGCATGCTGTCAAAGGTGAAAGTTTTGTGATAGCTGGAGAAACACGACAGTCCCATTAAGCTGTGGCCCTCACAGGTTTTTCTGTCCAACAGCTATAGAGATCACATCCAATCAAGATTAGCGTCCCAGCAGAATGCATGTGTGATGCATGCTTTAAAGAGTGTGGCTATATTTGGACTAGTCTGTGGTTGTTGTTGTTAAGTGCCATTGAGTCTGTTCCAACTCATAGCGACCCTATATAGGGATTTCAAGGAGTGGCTGGTGAGTTTGAACTACCAACGTTGCGATTCAAATCGACCTTGTGGTGGAGTGCTCATCATATAATGAATGCTACAAGGAAAAATGGTTTAGAAATTGTGAAGGTAACGTGTTTTCAATAATAAAAACAAGTGTCTTGAATTTCAGTAATATCCTTTTGTATACGGTCAGAAATTAAGAAAATTTTAGAAAGAAATTTGAACTATTGGGATAATGATTATGTTATAGAAGATTGAGAAACAATATAGCCTATTAACATGTCATAGTGTCTAAGAGCCAGACTATGGAACTGGGCTGCCTGGAATCCCAGCTCTGCTACTGTTGCCACATTTATCATACTACAGGCCACTTTATTCACCTGTTTATTTAGTTGTATAAAGGAGATCATAACAGTGTCAATTTCAGTGTCTTACAGGGCATTAAGTAACTTTGTGAGCTTAAACATTTAGGGCTGTGTCTCCATATAATCATTAGTCATCATCTTTAGTGTCAAGATATGAAATCTCTCTGACAATAAAAAGAACTGTTTAATCATCTTAAATTATTAATTTTAATAATTATTAAAATTATAAAAATAATTATTAAAAAAGAACTGTTTAATCATCTTAAATTATTAATATTAATCCTATAGGAAAGAAAATAGTGATGACACATTATGGAGATCTTCCACTTCCTTTTTTTGTGCTAATTATATAAAACCTATTTTGAAAAGCAAGTTCCATTCCTCACTTACAAGCCCAAGTTGGTGGCTGCTGTGAAAACATGTCTCCTCAAATAGCTGCACTTGGTCCATATGCTGCTGTGGTCATTGCTGATCATCTTTGGTAAGTTTAATTATTTCACGTCGAACTTAGGTAGCAACAAGTTGAGGTGACCAGTTCCTAATTGGTCCTGAGGTCCAACGAGAGCCCAAGGATGAATTGTTGTTAAGTGAGATTGAATGAGTTCTGATTCATAGGGTTTCTGAGGAGCGGCTGGTGGTTCAAACTGACCGTGTAGTGCAGTACATTAACCCACAGCAACACATCAGGAGGAACGCTCATATCTCTGCTTCTAGCTCAAGCTTCAGAGACAGATGTGAAATAGTGGCGGATGGCCAGAGCAGAGGTCTAAAGAAAATCAAATCATAACATATTCCATCTCTGTTTGTCAGATATTTTAAACTCCAAATGCTCATATAATAATATGATAGTCTCATGATAACATTTTCATAATTACCAGCACTAATGCTCCCTTCACCATGAAAAAAAGTCAACGATTCTGACAGTTAACAAGATCTGGGCTCAGATGAATCACTGAAACCCTTTACTAATGTTCTTCTACTTAATTGTGGACTTTGGTGGAGATAAGAGTTGTTGCTAGGAAAACAAAGATTTATTTCTCTACACTTGCTAGGTAAGATATAAATATTTGCTAATTGAGTCTAACATAAAATAAAATATGACCCAAGGAAAGGAATCAATTTAAAACGGATTTAACTTTCCTACAATTATCACAAATTCTACACCCTGAAAAGCATAGATGTGAGGATCTAAGGACAGAAGGAAATGAAGGAAAGAATCACTAAATATCCAACATCTATGGGACTTGCTCCTGGCAATTGTTTTGGCCAAAGAATGGACAAATTATCACAGTTCTACACCCTGAAAAGCATAGATGTGAGGATCTAAGGACAGAAGGAAATGAAGGAAAGAATCACTAAATATCCAACATCTATGGGACTTGCTCCTGGCAATTGTTTTGGCCAAAGAATGGACTTGCAACTTGTCTTGTGATTGTAAGATTAATGAGGATTAGTTGTGTGTTTGAGGCAGATTAAATTGTTGGTGATAATGGAGTTGTTGTTGTTAAGGGCCCTCCAGTTGGTTCCAACTCATAGAGACCCTGTATAGGGTTTCTAAGGCTGTCAATCTTTATGGGAGCAGAAAGCCTCATCTTTCTTCCCTGGAGTGGTTTGTAGACTTGAACTACCAACTTTGTGGTTCACAGTCTAGTGCTTATCCTACAAACTCACCAAGTTACTGATAATGGAGTTGTTGTTGTGTGCCATCAAATCAGTTCTGACTCATATTGATGCTGTATAGGGTTTACAAGGTGTGGCCTAGAGGTTAGCAGTCCAGTCCTTACCCTACAGAGCTACATCAGGACTCTGATAATGGAGCAGGGATTAGAAAAGATGGAAAGAAGTTTTTGAAAAATTTATTAGAGTGCTACAAATGTCAAATTTGTGAACTCTGTACTAACCTGACTTTCAGTCCCTTCACAGTTCCAGTCAGTCAGCAGACAGGTAAGTACCATTTTTATGGTTTTGATCTCTGGTATATCAGTTACCTGCCTACCACAAGATCCTGCAGAGTAGACCCTAGAAGGACTATGGAGACTTCCAAATGTCACCATTCCCAGGTATTGACCAGTTCTGAGGTCATGCAACCACTGCCCTCAACACTGTTTGTTTGACTGGCTGGACAGAACCTCTCTGTCTCTCCTTGTTAAAAGTCTCAAATGAAGGGAAGATGGTAATACCAGAAAGAGGATGTGCAGACTGGACAGAGGCTAATTTGGGAAGAATTGTTTTCCTAGCCAGTAGAACAGTAACCTTTCAATATTGTCCTGCTAAAATATTGTAGCGCTGAAAACTTGCACAGTCAAAATAAACACGTAGCATCATTGTTTCTCTAGATCAAACCAGCAAAAATTTTCTGTAAAAGACCAAATAGTATTTTAGACGTTGCTAGCTTGTTTTGTAAGTACTCTATTACTAAACTCTGCTGTTGTTATGTTATAGACCATATATTATATGTTATATTATATGATATGTTATAGACCATATATAAATGAATGGGTGTAGCTGTGTTCCAGTAGCACTTTGCTTATAAAAAACCATGAGTTGCAACTGACCAACCCATGAGCCATAGTTTGACAACCCCAGCTCTAGACCCATTGTTTAGTTCCACATTTCTTATGCGTGCACTGTTTTTCTAAAGTCATGTGACTAAAACAAATTCCATCCCAGTCTTCCTGACTTAAGCTGTATTTAACCAAGGAATTCAAATAGAAAAAAAAAATCATGCTACTTGCAGAATCTCCACATAAGTTAAGACTATTTCTTAAGAAAGATAGATTTGTTTTGTTGTTCATCTAATGCTAACTACCAAGAGGGAAGGAGCTCCTTGGACTCTAAGGAACTATATTGGGATAAGGTGATCCCTGTCTTATTTTTAATGAATCAGGCATATCCTGGGAAACCTTTGGAGGTGCTAGTCTGGAATGTGATTTAGAATAAATCTCATCTTTTGTGTTTATTCTGGTCCATTTGTGGTATCTGAACATACCCTGTGATACTTCTCACTTCACTTCCTGTCTGGCTGGAAATTAGAGGAAACCTCAGTCAATGCTCATGTGTCTTCTCACCACAAATAGGATCCATGTTATTGCTCAGTCTTAGTGTGCTATTAGGTATATCCATTCCCTACAGTGACTTACCCACAACCAGTTAGAGCACAGTCATTTTAGTCTCTTTTCTTTCCCTGCTCAAGTGCTTCTTAGGAAAAGGAAAAGTTCCACAGTTCTTTGAGATATTTCCTTTCAAATAATAATAATAATAAACTATGCTTAGCATGATGTAGCAAAGAACTAGTTGACACGGAATTGACTCCAACTCACAGGGACTCCATGTGCGTCTAAGTAGAACTGGGCTCCATAGAGTTTTCTATGGTTAGTTTTTGGGAAGTAGATCATTAGGCCTATTTTGTGAGACACCTCTGAGTGGATTCAAACCTCCAACTTTTGGTTAGTAGGTGAGTACCTCTCAGAGATTCAGCAGTAATGGTTACTGAATTCAGGTGAAAGACCAGAGTTAAATTATGGCTTTACTGTATAGTAGTTGTGTTGCCTGAGCAGTCAGTCAGTTGGCCTCCCAGAACCCCTGTCTTGTCACCAGTGAAAAATTTCATATGCAGAGGATTTTACTTCTCTGTACAGGTTGAATTACCACTTAGTGTTGTTGTTAAGTACCATTGAATTAGTTCCAACTAATAGTGACCCTGATAGGGTTTCCAAGAGTACTGGTTTGGCTATGTAGGATAAGCACTGTACTGTTAATCATACGGTCAATGGTTCAAACCCTATAAAGGGCCTCTGTATGTTGGAACTGACTTGATGGTACGTAACAACAACAAAGGTGTTACAAGGAGCAGCTGGTGGGTTTGAACTGCTGACCTTTCAGTGAGCAGTCCAGTGCTTATCCAACAATGCCACACCAGGACACCTACTGTTGAAAATATCATTTTATCCTCATTCTTTACCCCAGGGCAATCTTCTCTCCAGTTTCCTCCTTATAGTCCCACCACACACTGTGTTAACCACCTGTTTATGACCTTCTATTGTATGCAAGCTCCTGAGAAATATGGTTTGCATCTACACTTGAAGCTGTTCTATTAAAAATAGTATTTATTGGAATTTTTGTAAAAATAATTATTCACATCTATACAAGTATGGAGTCCTGGTGTGGCAATATAAGGTAAACACTGGACTGCTAACTGCAAGGCTGATAGTTCAAATCCATCAGCTGCTCTTGGAAATCCTATACAAGATTGCTATAAGTCAGAACCAACTCAACGGCACCTAACAACAACCACACTGTTGGAAGCCATGCCATCAAGGAACAGAACAGCGAGAGACCCTAAGCATGAAAAGCTCATTGTTTAGCAAAGCGACAATGAGTGTCTCCTTGGTTGGCAAAGCCCCAAGGGGAACCTAATGCAAGGGCCTTGCAGTTTCTGTTTTTTCCTTTTATGAATAGTTTATTTTTTATTTTTCTTGATTTTATTAGAGAAGTTTTTAGTAGAATTTTTCAATAATCACAGTAAAAATTAAAATTACATTTAAACACTCTCACACTAAATTTAATCATGTAAAGTTATAAGAGTTGCTTTTTACATCAACAATAAGTCTCACCATTAGGAAAAGCCACTTCAGCTAAAAGCTTTTCAAGTTTAAGATTACATTCTGCTTAGTAGACACTGAGGCACCTGAAAGAAACAATCTTACAATCACCATCATGCTCAGTCAGTAGAGCAAGAGACACTGAGGCACCCGGAAGATAGCAAAGAGCCAATCAAGAGCTGCAGAAACACACAGGAAGGTGGGTAGAAATTTAACTAAAGTTTTGGGAAATTATAAGTATAGGGGAATTGCTGCTTTGTTTTTGACTATGAAACTTTAGGTACTTTTATAAAAAACACGGTTGTGATTATGGATTGTGATTAATGAAGCTATAAGAAGTGATAGATGAGAGTAAAAATGCAAGTTAAAATATAGAACTTTGCTTAAAAGTTGATTTGACATTTTTGGGAGGATTAGAGAAGAATAAAAAGAGTTATGGAAATAAACCCAATGTTATCAGGATAATTAGGGGATGCAAAGGAACAGGATATGATAAGAATTAAGGGAGTGTTCTGATGTTTCTTTTTTGTTGTAACCTGAATGTTTGTTGAACACAAAGAATGTAATACTTAGTTAAATTGCAATTGATTGTATGTGACTATAGAGAAATCCTAATAGTATATAAGAAGCATATTTGAGTAAGGAGAAGTTATCTACCTAAGTAAAAGGGAAGTTATCATTTGCCTAAGACTCACGACCCATCAACTCTGTGTGTGTGTGTGTGTGTGTTTCACGGACTCCGTACCCCCCTCCGAGCTCTCACAAATTGTCGAGGCTCGTCCCGGCACCACACCAACCACATACAAGAATATATTTTTACTAAGTTTAATCTTTATGGTTGTATTTCCTTGTCCTACTTCAGAGGTCTTCCATTTATAACTAACCTTTTGGTGTTACTTACCGTTGTGTCTCTGTAATACAAGTCTCTTCTTAATACTTTAAAGTCAGAGAGATTCCTTTTGCGTGCTTGCCTCAGTTGCCTTGTGTTTGGCTTCTCTTGACCAATGCTAGTTAGAGGATTTGTAACTCTGAAGATTTTTAATAGTACTGTTGTGTGTGTGTGTGTGTGTGTGTGTGTGTGTGTGTGTGTGTCTGGGTGGAGTTTGATGACTAATGAGTCAGCACAAGTGCTTCTTACTCTTGTCCCCTAGAGTCTCTGACTCCTTTCACAAGATTAAGAGGCTATGTACATAGACTTTAAAAATATGCGGGGGTGGGGGGGTG